GAATAATAGGAAAAAAGTTCTTTGCAAGCTTTTGGGCACGCTTCATCAGGCATAGGGGGGGTCTGCTGGTGTTGTGTTCTCCAAGATAGAAAAAAAACTAATTTATAACAAGTAGGTCTGTGAAAATGCCTGATATACAAAATTCTAGAAAATAAGAATTGGAAGGGACCTCAGGAGGTCTAGTCCAACCCTCTGCTCCAAGCAGGACCATCCCTAATGTAGAGCAGGAGTGTTAAACACATAGCCATGTAGTTCTATACACTCGTATGATAACCATTCAAAGAGGACAAATGAGACTTCAGGAAGGACAAAGGCTATTCATATCTAGCCTTTGTGATCAAAACCTGAATGGCTGGGAGAAGTAAACACTGAGAATTTACATTCACATAGTGATGCATATTGGGTGATGAACTGAAGTGTTGAGTGAGGTCTGCCAGACAGGGGAATTGCTTTTTAAGGGAAATAATCTTCTACCCAAATAGTGTTTGATTAGAACTGGAAGACTGGACTAGTAATCTTTATCTGACAATATGGAAATATTTCTCCAGTCATAAATGGGTCAGTAAAGATGCCTGACTGGTCAAATGAAGGTCCAGTAGAGGGATAGATGATTATATGCCCAATACTTGATCTTCACATATTCTGTAGAAGAATGGAATTGGCCAGATAAGGGCTAGTATTTAAGCCCGGGCATGGTAGCCAGAGCTTGTCTAAAGCTTCCTGGGAATAAGATGCTTTGGTCCCTCAGCCAAAAGACTAAGGAGAAACTGCATTCTTGGGTTTAAAATCAGAGTATTATTCTGATCATTTTTGTATTTCTGTGTGTAACTCGACGTATGGTTACTGATTTATATGTTTGCCCATATTTTTATGATAGGTCCTTTTGTTATCTTTTGTAACCCACTTATTTTCAGTGCCAGTTATGATTTAAGACCATCAAACCATCCAGTCGGGCCTCTTGCAAAGAAGGGTCCATCTATCTTTTCTGAGTATGTGACTGAACAAGAGTGTGATTATTCTTATAGCTGACAGAATCCCCTCTTATAAGAGTTGACAAGGTCTGGATGAAATAAATTTAGCTGAGGTGCCATAGGTTAGGGAGGTGACTTTCGAAGCACCTCAGTCTGTTCTTAGTGGTCAAGCAACAAATGGCAGAGACAGGTTTGGAGTGGAAGGGCACCCCAGAAGGTGTGTGAGTGCCTCAGGAGCATGTGTGTATCACAATTGAATAGATTCAATGCTGTCCACCTTTGTGTTAAGAAAATTGAAGCTGTTGTAGAGCTTTTTTGTTTTTGTTTGTTTTTTGATGGTGTTTTGTTTTTGTTTTGTTTTTTGAGCAACAAAAACTTCAGTGTACCTGAATACAGTTTTTGCTTAAGTTCAACCTTGAGATTGAGCCCCCCCCCAACAGCTTACAGTCCCTGCTGCCGGTGGCAGTAGCAGCAGCAGCAGCAGGCAGTGAGCCCTTGAGGTGCTTCTGGCCTACTGGAGGCAGAGCCCTCCATTGGTGCGCAGCTCCGGCTGAATCATGGGAGCTGCACTTGGCGGCATGGAACCGGCCCAGCCCAGCCCAGCCCACTGGCATGGGCCTTCAAGCCAGACCCGGCTGGCTACTTGCCAGTCTGTGGGGCTCTTGGCATTGCAGACGAGAGGTGCACACCACCAGCCCAGGTCAGCTCTGTGCCTCCACGTGGGGCTTCCAGCACGCTAGCGGAAGAACCCCTAGAGAAGAACCCCACTTGATGTACTTCCTAGTTCAACAGTGAGCCACTTTGAGAGTTATTTCCACTTCCTTCCTCCCCTTTCCCCCAGCAGTTGAGCACCTGTTGTATGGTAATTTAATCTAAATTACACTTTATTACCTTGCTTAAAAATGTCATAAAGACCATGTCAAAATCCTTGCTAAAGTTGAAATGCATCACACTGAATTGGCCTAGGTGAAAACATTACCCTGTTAAAAACAGAAAAAAGTTCTCATAGATGCCACATATAGGCATTATTTTTCTACTAGGACAGTCATTGCTCTCCTGGTAGAAATTGTGTATGTACAAGTGTTCATTCAATTTCTCTTATGGGAAACCTGTCTCTTTTGGGAGAAACATCTTCCAGGTGTCAACCAGGAAGATCTCAGTGAGAGAATGAACACCCGCATATTGCCCTCTTGGTCCCGTCAGGAAAGGGAGTGGAGCAGCAGAGCAGGACTCCTCTTGCTTCCCTAGGTGAGGGACTCCCTGGTTGGGGAAATGGTCAGTCTCCTCCTGGACTGGAACAGCAGGCCAAAGTCCCTCCACCAGTCACTGCCCAGACCCAGTGTCCCCAACTTGAGTGGCGAGTGGGGTAGGTAGAGGGTTGCCCCACTGCACCCTGCTACTTGGAACAAAACGGAGAAACAGCTTCTCCTTGCTCCAGTCTCACTCCTCAGACCACGGTCCATGGTCTCAGGAGCAAGGAGGACCTTTGCTTTCAGGCTCTACTCCCCTCCTAGCCCAGTCTACAGGAGGGGAGTGGAATGGCTGGGAAAGACTCCTTGCCTGTGTCCCAGACCAGGGACACCCTGGTCTGGGGAAGGCATAGGGAGTCTTTGGAATGGGAGGAGTGGAGTAGCACCTTTTTGCTATGCCTTCCCCAGACTGAGATCACCTGGTCTCAGGAAAGCATGTGAAGTAAAGGAGAGGCTGAAGGGCTGTACTGCTATAGGCTGAAGGGCTGTACTGCTCCCTTTACTGGTAGGATTTCTATCAGTGGAAGTTTGAGAAATTTCCATCACTAGAAATGAACTCTTGTTTTTGGCTAGAGAGATCTGTTCAGTAGCGGACAAAACAGCAAGTAAATTAGGCTGTTTTAAGGAGGTTTCAGAGAAGAATAAAAGCTATACTACTAGATAAAGGTGACAGAAAATATTTAGATGTGTTGAACTCCTATGTAAGGAGGGATTTAGAGAATCCAGATTATTTCATTCTTAAGAGAGTAGGAGAAGATATTCAGTGTATATGATATGAGTGGTGCCTGTAATGGATTTTGAGCTGCTCTGTACTTTTTTTTTTTTTTTTTTTTTTTTTTTTTAAGTACAGGCAGTCCTCAACTTGCAATGTTTCAAGTTGCAACGTTTCTCCTTTACAAAGTTTATAAATTGACACCCTGTTTCAACTTTCTGAGGTCAGTTTCGACTTTACAACACTTGATCTGACCCCACGCTGCACCAGCGAACAAGTTTGCTGCGTTGCCCTTCTCCGTGGAGAACATCTGTCCAAACTTCCTGGGACATTTTCTTTAAGAAAGCAGCGACACTTCAGCCAAGACTCCTGAGAAGACTCCAGCCAAGAACCCTTCAAAAAGTCCAACCAAAAGCCCTTCAAAAAGTCCAGCAAAGTCACCTCAAATAAGTCCTTCCAAATAAATATGATTGCTATTTACAATATAAAAACATTAATGTAGCTATATTACTCATCTATAATGATTGAGTACAAAATTCTTGGTTATTTTTGGTGAAATTTGGGTATCAGGCCTTGGTTCAGGAACCAACCCCCCATTTATAACATTGTTTCCTATGGGGAAAATCAGTTCTGAGTTGCAATGTTTCAACTTAAGACGTAGTTTTCAGAAACCAATTGTGTCATAAGTCCAAGGACTATCTGTATGTATATTCTTTGGCATTCGGTCTAAAGAGTCAAGAGACAGCTGAGTCTCTGGATAGCCTGATAGGAGGCATGGCTCAGGCAGATTCTATGCAGCCAGTATAGGTAACTAATGGGATAGTCTAGTATGGTAACTATGGCATTTCTGAAATCATTTCAAGTTTAATATAAGAAATGTTGTGTTTAATAGACAGTGTCTTGGCGAACAATTGCTTTCTCAAGCTTTGGTTTTTACCAGTGGCATTATCATTGTTCATAGAAGCTAGGGCTTTCTGAAGTTGACAGTGTATTTATTGGAATAAAATAATGAATTGTAATGTTTACAGCATCTCCCTAACAATTATAGGGAGAATATTGTATGGCCCATCATTTTAAGTATGCCACAACTAGAGGTTTTGAGTATCAAAAACAAATATTTGTTTTCTCAACCAAGAGGTAATCCAGAATGCTTTTGTGCATTTGATGAGAATCGTATTTGATCTGCCTTCTTGACTGTAGTATTCTGCATACAACAATATCATATTGCAAGTGGAGCCAAGAGATTCCAGATACTGTCATTTAATAAGTGAGAAAATGAAAAGATAAATGACTGGAAACCCCCTACCATATCTATCTATCTATCATCACCACTCGTATCATGATATATCTAGATAGATAGATATCTTTTTAAACAGTTATTTTTAAAAAAGGAAGAAAACTTATTTTAAAGTCAAAAATAACTCTGGTTTCATTAAGTAAGTAATTTATTAATGCAGGCCTACTCTTTCTTGATGAATACCAATAGGATTGGTATATATTCTGGTTACACATAATTAAACTACTGAAAGTACTGAAAAAAGCTGAGCTCACCCTCTGTTATTACTGCTAATTTAGTTGTATTATAATAATGGCCACAGATGTATTTAGAACTTGGGTACTTTTGTGTATATTAAGACAATCCTGGGCCCTAACAGTTTATAATCTGAGAAGTCTTGGAGCAAGGAGAAAATAGTTTCCTGTTTGTCCTGAATAGTCAAGTTTAAGTGGTCCTTCTTTAAGAGAGATGCATAGGTTCCTAGAATTGGTCTAAACTCTAACATTATTTTTTATAGTAACTTTTTCAGTATAAAATATTCCAGGAGATAATGTAATCTGAATTCCAGTTGAGGTGTGTTAAATTTGGGGAGAAATACAAGCAATTATGGACTTACATGTGATTACAAAAGAAAAAAAGGGTCTCTGAACCCATGCTGGTAGAATCAAGCAAGCAAAAAAAAAAAAAAAATCAAAGAAAAAAAAGGTCTGTTTTTCTTATACTTCACTTTAACAAAGAGAAGATTTTACCAGTACTTTTATGAGCTCCTTATGTTTTGCTTTTTGCTACAGGTATTTTCAGGGAATTTGGTGGTGCAAGGTGTGTACACAATATAGTGAAGTATCCACAATGCCGACCGCATGCACTGATGATTATCCAGCAATTGGTGTTATCACCTAGTGGGGAAGATGATATGGGCACTTTGTTAGGGCTGATGCACTCAGCTCCACCTACAGAACTACAGCTGAAGACAGATATATTAAGGGTAAGTGCAACATACCTTAATACATTCACTCAAAAACTGCTCGCAAAGTTATTTAAACTTAGGACTGTATACTGTAAAGTTACTTTAACATTATTACTGGGTGGTATTCATAGACTGAAAACAGTCTAACTTTAGAATTCAAATCAGTATTTTCTCTGTGTAAATCAAACAATGAGTTCTTGAATTGGCAAAAATGAATGCCAGTGTTACTTCCGTTGCTTGCTGAAGAACTTGTAATCATTATTGATGGATAGGAACCATCTATGTGGATGGTGACTTGAATTAAAAACAGTCATTTGAAAACACACTTCATCTGGATTTCACAACCAACTGGCTTTGTCCACTGCTAAAGTTTTGGGTTCCTGTGGGATACTATACTGAAAGAATGGAGGAAGGGTTGGGTCTACTTAGCTGCTTCTCTCTGGAAAGGGAGGAAATGAGGGACAGCATAGATCAGAGGTTCCCAACCCCTGGGCCCGCAGCCCAGTAACGGGCCACAAAGGGTTGGCTGCCGAACTGGAAGTCCAGAAGTGACCAGCAATGACTTAGTATAAAAAAGGGTTGGCTGCCAGTCCACAGTAAGCTGGTCACTTCTAGACCAGAAGTGACTCTCTGCAAACTAAATAACCCTAGTCCTTTCAGCCTTTCCTCATAAGTCTTGCATCCCTCACCTCTAATCATCTATGCTCTGCTGGACTCTTTCAATCGGTCCATACCTTCCTGGAGTGTAGAGTCCAAAACTGGCCATAATGCTTCAGGTAAGGCCTCACCAGTAGTGAAATCTGAAGCTTGGTGTGAGTTGTCTCTAGTCTGTCTTCCTACATTACACAATGAAGGCACTGAGTGGAGACTCTGATCAGTATTTTAGCTGCCACAGGCAGTCACTTGTGTATTATGTTATGCAGAGTCCTTAATCTCTTATTTACCATCTTTTCCTGTCTATGAAATGGAACTGCTTCCTTTTTTCCACTCTGGATTATATATTTAATTGTCTATGTAGGGCTGTCTAATTGCTAGCCCATGCATGTGGCCCACAAGGAGTTAATGTGCAGCCCCTAGACCAGTGCTTCCCAAACTTTTCCTCAGCATGACCCCATTTATGGCCCCATTTTCTCAGCCTGACCGCATTTCTTCGGCATGGCCCCACACTCCCAACCCACAGCCCCCCACCCCCGCAACTCCATCTGCTGATGTTGCAACCCCATTTGGGGTTATGACCCACAATTTGGGAACCACTGCCCTAGGCTCTCACAGGTCCACTGCTCCTTTCATGGCTTGCAGCGGGAGTCTCTAAGTAACTCAATGGTTCGTCCGGGGGTGGTTCTTAAATCTGTAAGTGTCAGTTTCTGTTGCTGCTTTTATATATATTTTTATTATGGTAGTGTTTCACTAAGTGTACTAGCAGAACAAATAGAAAATGTTCGTCTTGCTTTAAGTTATTGTTAATAATGCCTACTATTTTTGGTTTTGTTTTTTTTTTAATACCTCTAGGCCCTGCTCTCGGTACTGAGAGAGAGTCACCGCACAAGAACTGTTTTTAGAAAAGTTGGTGGATTTGTATACGTCACATCTTTACTTGTTGCTATGGAAAGGTCCTTGTGCTCACCCCCTAAGAATGGCTGGGAGAGAGTAAACCAGAATCAAGTGTTTGAACTGCTTCACACTGTGTTCTGCACATTGACTGCAGCGATGCGCTATGAACCAGCCAACTCTCACTTCTTCAAAACAGAGATCCAGTATGAAAAGCTGGCAGATGCTGTCCGATTACTTGGCTGCTTCTCAGACTCAAGAAAAATAAGTCCCTTGAATGTCTTTCCTTCAAATACACAGCTATTTCAAAGACTGTTGGAGGATGACCTAATTTCCATGGACTCTGTGTCACCCATGCTAAGGCATTGCAGTAAACTTTTTATCTACCTCTACAAAGTAGCCACAGATTCTTTTGACAGGTATGAGGTCTGTTTTTTCTATTGCCTAAAAAATTAGCTGTTTCTAGAAAACTGTTGCTTGCAAAATTTGATAGTTCCCTCTTGATTTACTTATCTATTTTTTTCATTCAGAAAGATGACTTTTGTCTTCTAATTGGATACAATGTTTACAGACATGGAAAAAAAACCCACAGAATTTTAGTTTCAGCTCAGTGCACCCCTGCACCAAACACAACATGTACCCAGAAGAGGAATCGCATCAGTTTGACCTGGCTCCTGAGCATCTATATAGCTCACATACTTCAAGGAGGGCTTTTTGGCACTTTTATCTAATAGCTGATTCAATCAGCTATTAGATAAAAGTGCCAAAAAGCCCTGCTGAAGCGCACGAGCTATACAGATGCTGGGTCAAACTGACATGATTCCTCTTCCGGTAAAGTGCTGGATTTGTTGGGTTTTGGTTTTTTGGTTTTTTTGGGCGGGGGGGGGAGAGGGGATTGGTTTCCCTCCCCGCCCCCATGTCTGACAGCACCCATAAAGACTGCAGCTCTTTTAGAGTGTGCATTAGGGTCAGTGAAGATGTATGGATTAGGTTTTGACACCAAATGAGACAGACGCATCTAGTTTAAGATAGCATCTGCTATTGTTTAAGCAACTTGTCAATATCTTTTTCCTTCATAAATATTACATATTTGTACATCATATCATAAGGTTAAAGATACGTTACTGTGCAGCTCACCCCAACTTCTGCCTCTATTCAAGTTGGGGCATGTTTGAAGCCTATCAGCAGATTATTATGTAGGAAATTAAATTAATTTTAGATGGCTACAGGTGGAATTCTTCAAGTTTCTATTTGGTTTTTTTTTTAGTTCTGATTGAAAATTGGAGATAATAGAGGCCTTGATTGCTACAGAGCAAGTATTTCATATAACTACTTCTGACTTTAAAATCACAAGTAGTGTATATACTCCTAACCTTTCACACATGCACACATGATTTGAGAGTAATTCTCACCAGTATTTTCTTGTTCAAAATAATGGAGAGTCTAATTTAAGCGTTGTGGCTTGAGTTACTAATATTGAGCTTGGCTAATTGGCTATGCATTAGTCAGCATTTTTTAAAAATAGGGTCCTAGTTAGCACTAAATCAATGAGTTGATTTTCAAAGTGTGCTGACACTGTGGCAGCATCTAATGAAGTCGGTTGGAGCTGTAAGGTAGTTTCATGTCAGCATCTAACTTCAGGCTCTCATTATTTTTTTGCTGTGTTGCTGAGCACAGCAAATTCTTATTCCTTCATCTTGGGGAAAAAAAAACAACCTAACACAAAGAAACTTGATTTTTAGGCCTCAGTTTAAAATTGCCTTAAAACATTGAAATCGGGTGAAGCAAGGATTATCAAATTGATTAATGTGATAGCTCAAATAAAAGAGCTATGATACTGGTTAGCAGTGGTATCAGAAGTATCAAAGCTAGGGTAACTATAGCAAAAATTTTACTGGATAAGATACCTTATTATTCACCTGGTATGCCCTGTTATTCTTTAATCACCCTCTTTTTCTTCCTCCTTAAACTTTCTTGTGGTCGGTTTATGCTTGGGACAGTCCATCTGTTACGTCTAATGAAAATTAATGAGACGTATTTACTTGCTGAGATCTCACCTTCTGTCAATTCCTGTTCTGCTTAACCTTGAAGGATGTTCTGGTTTGCTTATTTGATTATATAGGTAGAGAGCTCTGCTGAGCATCAAACAAACAAATGTGGTTCCCTAAGCATTGGAGAATGGTGCTGTTAAAACATATGCTTTGCAAGTCTGTGTGTTTTACCTGATGCATGTTCCTTAGTAATGTTCTCTGTTGTCTCTGTTGCTTCTGGAGGAGGTATCTTATAATGGTTTTATTGGTGGTTATATTGTTAACTAACAAGCTTCTGGCCTGTTTTCTTTTCTAACCTCTCTATCCTACCCCTGTCTGTTTTGTCTGTAGTCATGCAGAACAGATCCCTCCTTGCCTGACAAATGAGACTTCTCTCCCCTCTCCTTGGGGTACACCAGCTTTGTCCAGGAAAAGGTACCAATCCTTTAAGAGAAGTTGATCTTTCTTCTGGTTTCTCTTCTCCGTGTTGTTTCTTTGGGGTTTTTTTTCTTAAACTGCTCTTTGTTCTGGGGTACATGTTTGGTCAGCTAATAACCACTCCTGTGTATACCGTGTAAGAATCTTAAATCATTGATTCTAGCATGTAAAACTAAAATATGTAGGACCAGATGACAGCAAACATAAGATCTTGAAAACAAGCAATTTTGAGTTAAGTTTGTATCTCTTAAAAAAAATCAAATCTATTATAAAAATGATTTAAGCAGTATGGATGCAACTCCTGGGATTGTTTCTTAGTAGTTAGACTGCTGTAATGAAACAAAAACAGTTTTATTTAATATATTTCTTAAGAAAGGTACTTCCTTTTATTTTCAATACACTGAAGACCTTTAAGAGTCTATGCTAATTGTATTTTAGAGAAGCAAGAAAACAGATCCATCTGACCCCCAACTGCTCGCAAGGTCTGTTGATATTAAAGTGATTTGGAAAGTCATCACAATTTACCAATTTCTGGAAGTCTTTCCCATTGTTCTTTTCTTTTTCTTGGCCAGTTTAATGTTTTGATTAAAGAGTGCTCAGTCCCACCTTATGAACATCATTTTAAGTCTCTAATAATGGGAAGACTACCAAAGTTGTGTTTGAAACATGCTTGATTGAAAAGGCAGTATTTGCAGTAAAAACGTATTTCCACAGAAATCCCTTTTTTACCTTCCTAAGTGAAACTATACAGGGCACGTGTTGATATTCTTCTGGGCTTAACTTGGAAAAGACCTTCCTTCTAATAATTCAGCACCTTTCAGACTACCATTTTTTTCTTTAATACCAAGGCATGTAGGAGCAAACTCAGCTGTTACATTCTGAAGAGAAAAGCATTTGCTGCTGAATTCCTTTCTATTTTCCTCATGTTGAAAGAAACAGACCTTTCCTATGGAGACCGTACACTTTTCTGCCTATAATATTGACCTCTTTTGCAATGAATTGGATTTTTCTTTACTGGTTTGTTCTAGTCTCTTAGGTGTAAATGGTAGTACTTGCTCATATCAGCTGAATTGTTAAAAATACACGGATATAGAAAAAGCATAATGTTGCCAATAGAATGCATTTAATGTTTGCCAAACAAGCTTTGAAGGGCAGCTGATCCCAGAAGACAATGAAAAAGAGGATGCCAGATTGGTAGTAGGCTCTCAGAATTAATTTTAAAAATATTTTAACCTTTTTAAGTCATCCCGATAGTGAAAAATGTAGGAATCCTTTGGGTGCTGCATTGTACATGGCTGTATCATTATAGCTGGGTTAAACATCCCATCTTGAGGTTTGATTTTTAAAAATAAACCATCAGATCATTCATTTTGGCTGAGCATTGAGGGTTGGTGTTAAGAGGAATGGAATGTATTTGCTATTGATAAATGAATGATGCCACTTTCTAAAATAAGTTGAATAGAAAATGAATAAAAGATGCATATAGGGTATTACTGTTACCTTGGGTTAATTTATAAGTTAACATAAATAAATAACTTATGTAAGAGTAGATATAAATTCCAGGGTTCTCAGAGAGTGTATAGCTAGGTGCTGTTCTCCCCCCACACTCCTTTTAGCAATTAGTGTCAAATAGATTGCTTCTGTTGACTTCGGTGGCAGCTATGGGTTTCTTGATGCTTTCAGAATCATAACACTTTCTTAGAAGTCTAAGTTCAGGCTCCTGTTTTGAAAACTTCAGTGAAAATGCTGTTACGAGGGCAATGTGCATTCTCTACTTGTTTTGTTTTGTCTGACTTCCTTTGCCTTCACGTATCTCCTCAACTATTATGGTCTGTTCCACTAATTTAGATGATAAACTCCTCTGGGAAAGCTTTCTTGTTTCTTTGTTAGCATAGGGGACAGCGGGCACATGTATGATGTTATATAAAAAATTATTTATTTTGCAGTATGCACAAAAAATATAAAAATTCTGTGTATATGTACATTTTAAGCTCTTGCTTTAAATGCATACACAAATACACATGTTCTAAGATTGTTGGTCTTTTTTTCCCCAAGTGATATTGGCAGCTGAACATTATGCTTTGTGTAAACCAGTATGGATGCTTTGTTTTCGGGTAATATAGAAGCACTATGATTTTCAGTCCTCTGTATTAATAAGTCATGAATGGCTTGCTTTGGTGGATTTTAAAGGGGTACTCATACTGACTTGAGGTTACCTGAGCTGTCATCTTGGATGACAAATCTATGCAGAGAAGCCTTAAAATGAATAGAAAATGGCATGCATGTTTTCACTATTGTTATCCACTGGTTTGGAAAACATTTTAAATAAGTCTCTCTTGGAAAATGAATTGAACAGTAGCTAATACCAGCAAATTCTATTCAGTTTTCAGTAAAGGAGGATCACTGTACATACAGGCTATCTGGCTTATTTGTGTATAGCATTTTGAGTTTGACTTTTATTCCATCTTGTCATTCCCTCTCCCTGTGGATTTTCTTTTCTAGTTTATTTTTTTTTGTTCCCTTTCTTCCGGAAGGACAATGAAGACATGTTAGGCCCATGTGAGTGTACTGGTACAGAAAAGCTGAAATGAAATTGGTAAAAGAATCAGCTAAAGCTAGTGGATAGTTTCACAGCATTTTTATAAGATCAGATTTATCTTTCTGTTTTAATACATGAATGTCAACTGGTAGTTTAGGACCTCTTGAAATAGGAACCTACTGAACATAAGAAAAATAAAGCAAACCTGCACATTGTCCCATTAGTACTGACTAGATGTAATGGAAGATGAGAGAGTTTACTTTCTCTTAAACAATAGAAAAGTAAATTGTAAGTATCTGAGTACCCTGTACCATGTTGGACTGCAAACTTTTTGAGGCAGGGTTTGTCTTGATAAATCATGTAACGCAGTAAGCCTGAACCTGGCTACTGTAGCATAAATGATTAAAAGCGTATGAATAGTCCTAAAAATCATAGAGTATGGCACTGGTATAAAGAATGATTGCTAGGTACACTTGAAATTCTGTGCCAAAATGTTTTTAGAAATTACTTTGAGGATGAACTTTAATGTTAGCCTGTTCTCAAAAAGGCTGACTAGAACACTTTGATATGTCAGGATTGTTACTCCTTAAATTAAGTGTGTGAATACTGTGACACTTGAGACTCCAAACTTTTACTGCAGAGGCAGAACTTGTCCTCCTCGTTTGGAAAAATGCTATTCGCCAAGGGAACTGCCCATTTCCCTAACCTCAACTATTGTTTTGAGAGCTGTATTAAATGAGGGGCAAACATTATATCAACAGCTTTTTGTAGGATAATGTTACTATCTGTTTTGTTGTTCTTAGTGGTAGCATTGGAGTAATGTTGCAGCTGTGATGGTCCAGGAATTATGCAACAGGCAAGGATCTCTTTGGTTGATATGTTTTATTGGACCAACTACATAATTGTCTTCCATTTGAAAGCTTGTCTTACTATCCCAACTATGCAGTTCATCCAATAAAATATATCAACCTAAGAAATCCTTGCTCTTTTACTGTCTAATCTAAAACAAAATATTCAGCTATAACAAAGTCAAAGCTTTGCCATATTTTTAAAACTGGTATTTGGGGTCAAGAACAGATTGCTTAAATGCTTTCAATGAGTCATGCACTTTGTTTTATAGGAGGACAGAATGAAGAGAAAAGGCTATTTCCAGAGTTTTATAGCTGTATAGAACTAATCTTCAGCTCACTCACCCTCTCTTTCCTGTGTAACTAAAGCTGAATCCCTAAATGGTGCTTGAGACTGATGTACTGATATCTTTGATTATGGGTCTGAACTAAAGAGGCTGTGAAATTAGAGACCAGGAGCAGCCAGCAAACAGCAGAATTGCCCTAATAAAGGTTAGCTTGATTAGCGGAACATCAAGACTATTAAAAAGGAGATTAGATTGTTAACACCTTTGGAGTGAAGAATAGCAAGCCATTAAAACAGTTAACTTCCTTAGCTGCCTGAACAGTAATGCCGTAGCTGCTGCATTGTAGAACAGGAATCAAGCCAGGGTGCTTCCTACTCCAGGCAGAATATCAGCTTCCCACTTAATACACAGCTTTGGTGGGCTGATTTTGTGGGTAAAGTGCATGTTTTATTTGAGAAAAGACAGTACTCGGGGTCAGATCCAGAGGGTGACGTAGTGTAGATG